GAAGCGTTAAGTGGACTTGGAGAAGTCCTACAGAGTAGATGATACATCTTTCAAGGTAATCATTGGGGATTTTAGCGCTAAGATTGAACCGAGAATACCGTCTAGAGAACGTCACATTGGGACCCACGGAATAGAATGAAACGAGCAAGGTGAGCGGCTATCTGAGTTTATCATGGCGACCAAGACAATCCATGGTAACTCGCAATTCCAGAAGCCCCACCATCACCGCTGGACGTGGGAGTCACCCAATGAAAGTATCATAACGAAATAGACAACACCATAGTAAATAGAAGGTTTTGCCTAACCAATGTCGCTGTTGTTCCAAAATTCTACACAGGATCAGACCATCGTGTCCTCCGAGCAAGATTCCATTTCTCGCGGAAAGATAAAAAGCCGCTAAATTCCAAAACCGAAGTCTCAGAACCACCGTAAACTGGGACTTATTCAATTCATTAGTCGGTTGTCGGGAAGGTGCCGTTGTCGATAACATCGGCGAAGAATGCGATCGGCTCATTCAACATCTTCACGTTAGCACGAAACATAACGGAAACAGTAAATTTTTGCACTTGCTCTTAGTGCACGTTTTTTGATAACGAGTGAATCTGTTAGAAAACGTTGTTGTTTGCTCGGGCTTGGCTCGGATTTCAAGCAATGAGATTGAATGTCACACGAGCATCGCTCTCATAGGCCATCATTCCATATTCGTGCCCTATTTATTCTCGTAAATTCGTTTAGAATCCATAAAAAATATTACTAAAAATTGTTTCTGCTTGATAGTGCCTTCTATGAAATATCGTCAAAGCCGAATTCTCAAACGCTCTACTAATCGCCACTCCCCTAAGAAGTTCCTTTCCATTCAGTCAGCCAATCTGCATATAACCTTTATAATAGGTACTGTTTCCTTGGTCAGATTTACTATATCACAACTTCCATGAGAGATCTACGAAATTCCATAAATACTTTGGTACGGCTTCAGATTTAACATCCACTTTTCACTTTGTGTAGCACTACCCTCTATTTCAACCCAACTCACTGGAAATTTATGTCAGCGAGGTCATAGCGATAAAATTCAGGGCCTCAATACACCAGTATGCTAGAGGAATTTTTTGTAGCGACCCAATGAAAGCTTTCCCAAGCCATTAATAGTCGATATGCCAGTGTTACTCGGTTGACTAGAGGTCCGAACTATGCTTGCTTTCCTTTGTGGGTACTTTTCTGTTTGGGTCAGTTAAAATTAACTCGAAGTGACACGAAGCAGTAAACACCAATATAACAGTTTGCAGTGAAATCTCTCTTTAAAATAATATCTAATGCAAAAAAAAATGGTACCAAAAAACTTCAGCGGAAAAAACAAGTAGTTTACGAAGTGTTTAGCTTCAAAAAAGTGAAATTTTATTTTATTATTTACTTTATTTATACGAATCATCTTCACGCCTACTACGATGGTCCTACCAATTCTCACATTCGACTCATTGCCTTGCATCCACCATCCCCAACTCTTACGTGTGGTTTCGGCTGCTGCATCAAAATCAACATTAGTTTTTAGAAATCTTTATCAAATCTGAAGATTTAGCTGCGTCGTCATCAAGTATTTCTTGAATGGAAAACGAAAATGAATTTTTCAAAAAGAAGATTTTATTCCGTTTTAATATAATAATACACTAGTGCTTTATGATTTCGCAGGTAAGTCCGGTACAACTTTGCCCGCACCAGAGGGATGGAGGGCTTGGTGGGGTTGGAGCGCTGGATCGATCCCATGTGTACCGCGGGCGCCTCCGACCACTTCGGTACACGCCCTCTCTTCTTGGTACCAGGCTTGTCTAGAAGGATAGCAGCACTGGCTCAGCACATCGGTTGGCAACCGCGAGTCATTGTAAAAGCCAGATATGCATTCAATCACCTCCAACGATGCTCGATGAAATCGAATGCATGGCTCATGCCTCAGAGATTGATCAACGCCGAAAGCTCTGTCCTTTATCTTTTAGCTTTAGTTTTTACATGATTGAGCTAACGCGGAGTTGGTATAAAAGTTTTATTCGGCTAACATTTTCGCGCCTTTACCTTTCTCAGCGCCACGTTGATCCCAGTCGACGATCCACAGCTCGTCGTTGTTACGATGTGGGTACTCGTTGTTGCATCAAGAGGAATTCAATGGATGGAGCATCGTTCGAATGAAAGCTCTCGCTCAGTAGTCCCTATATACTGCTGCGGATGATCGACTCAAAAACGCGACTGTAAAGAAGGCGCAGGAGCAGAAGTGTTAGCCGAAATAAAGTTTATACCAACCTCGCACTAGTTCAATCATGTGGAAAATTATTTATTATTGCTACCGAGGTTTAATAAAAACTGGTTTTTAAAATATAATCTTATATTTAGCAATACTTAGCTGGATTGCCTCATTGAAGTACTTTGCTGGCTAGAACATATGGTCTATTAAAGCTCATTCTTAGGTTGGACGGTCGTGGGAGGAAAAAGAAACCCGCTCTGTATATCACTTCTACACCTAGAAACACTACAGCCACAGATTGCCAAACCGTTTTAATATAAGAGTGCGCATTCACTTTTTGGAAGTAAGAATAGATTTTGGATTAAGATTTAGTTTGGCGCAGCGGAGTGGAAGAATTACGACGGCTTTTTTCTCTTGTGCTGACAGCTCTCCCGTCATTTGAGGCAGTAAAATCTGCTCACGTTGTGCTTCCATGAAAGAAGAGAGCGAAGGAAGATGTTGACCACAACACACCGATATGAATGGATCTCGTAATAAATTATTTATGCGAAGGAACCTAAGGCATGCTTTGCTTTTCGTCACGATTGTCCCACAAGGTAAAAAGGTAAAAAAATTTGTGCGAAGAGACGTCAACTTAAGATGTGCCAAGTCGTTTACGTTTCAATTATAGAAAGCGCTTTAGAACAACCTTGATAATGAAACCGTAGAATGACCTGTAGCAGTTCTCTGATAACAGTTTTTTTCATTAATATTATTAGTACATTCTTAGCTTCCTTAAAAATGGGGCACTAATATTATGGTTCTTCTATCAAAGGGAGCGAATCGCACATCAATGGTGCAATTGGATATTTCTCCATCCGTGCTTGTTGCTATCAGCAGAAAATCAGCAGCATAGCAAAAAATTATGCCTATTGATGAATTACAGTGTTCTGTCATGTAACAGCAAGACATCGATAACACCGGCTGACTTCCAGCCAAAAATTCGAAAATTTCTATTTGAGCAACGTAAGAAAGACCCATAAATCACCAAAAGGGAGTGAACCAGCAAATGCCTTGTATACAGAACCTCAAAGGTACTGTCCTTTGTACCACGTCTCCAACACATGTGCAGTTGACTGGCAACTGCTGCCAAAGCTCTGAAGCAAAAACTTTTCATTAAGCTTTGGTAATACTCATTATTTAGGTTCATACCCTATCTTAGATTAAACATAGCTTCAATACGTGGCAGTTCAGAATGGAAATAACTACGGCCAAATTCCCTAGATTGTTCCTAAACACTCTCAGTGTGTGAAGCTACAATGCACGAGCAATTTAATTCATCTGTTTTTCTCTATGTCTTCATCTAGCGCTTAGTAAAAGCTTATAACTTTTTTATTTTATTTTATTTTATTTGACCCGTTTTCACGTCTACACTGTGCATCCCAACACTTCTCACGTTCCATTCGTTTCCTCGCATCCATCATCTGTGAAGATTTTCCAACTTTGCGTGTGGCTTCGGTTGCTGTTTGAAGATTTTCATTTCATTTTGAATGTCGTAGAATGCTGGTCGAGCAGTTCTCCCTGGAGTCCTGAGATAGCTGGATTGTAGCATTCCCAATTGGATTGCATAGAGTGGTTTTTTCTCAGAGAAGTCCGGTACCAATTTCCCGACCCCGGATTGATGACAGGCTTGGTTGGCCACGAGCGGAATTGAACTAGTATCATGCCTATTGTTTTGAAGGACACACTTAAGAATATTTGCTAATGAGTAAGTTACGGCCAAGGGAAGCGGATAGAACTGTGGTAGTGATGTCGGGCCGACCATCCTTCCTGCGGCTGATGCATTAGATTAGCTAGCACAAAGAGTAATAATACTATATCAGACTGACTTTCACTAGACCATTATCAATCTCTTTGGATTGTTCAGCTTACACAAGGTCGTTATGCAACTTTTATTCGGCGAACGTTTCGACCTCTTCGTCTTCCTGAGCTGAACAATGGAAAGAAATTTGTCGATTATTCACGCCGAGGTTAAGTGACAGCCTGCTTAGTACAAATATTTGAATTTTTGCGATGAAGTCCAACTACAGCCTGAATGGAAATGTTAATTAACAATGTTAACCTTTAAATTTCCGCCTTTCTTTTTTCACACAACGATGCCGAGATATTCGCGAAAGTTGGAACCCGAGCCAGATCGAACCACGATTTCCTTTTCCGAGGGTTTGCGCACTATACACTACACCACGGAGGCCCACGTTCTGCGTTTCTCTCAGCTAGTTTTCTACCTAAGCCCTAGACCTTCCAGAGAAACGACGATGATCGCCTAATAGTAACATTAACAATGACAACCTCGAGGATTTGTTGTTCGCTAGATGATGATGTTGGTCGTTGCGAGACCAACTTCTTCTTGTTTTCATAACATGTGGTGGAAATGGAATAAGTGAATACGGTTCACCAAAACACATCAAGAATTCGACTTCCAACGCACATAAATAAAGCATTCGCACGTCTCGATACCTAACTTAGGTCGTCGATGAACAAATATGTTGACTTACCATTTTCTTAAAGCTATACACTTTTATGTGTGTATATATATATGTGTGTGTGTGTGTGTGTATGTGTGTGTGTGTGTGTTTTTAAATCAATTCCATATTTTCTCATTCTTCTTGGACACTCAAAGACCTTTTGTTCACAAGTTCAACTGCATTTTATGCGAGGGTTTCCCGGTATTTTTGAGTTAGTTGCTTCATTCCGCTGTTAGGTTGAACAACAAAAATCTACAGGGTTTCCTGAAATGGGTGCAATGTTTACTACCTTAGCCGCATTCTCTGATATCGGTTCAGCTTGGTTACGAATCCCATTTACAAATCATACCTTCCTGGATCGGTTGAGAGATTGGACTGTGAGAAAGCCACCCTATAGCTCGTATCGATGTCACGAAGTCTCGATAACACAGTGAACTATTGTTGTGTCCTATCGAAAGGAGATCATTGACATCACGGCATTTATTTAGCTGTGCTTTACGCTATGCTTTCAATCAAGACGATTTAGAAATGCTTGACGTCTACGTTTTTTTCTGTAGTGCTTTTATGGTTATTATACGCTATCGCTTTTATTGTACTTAACCTAATCTCACCAGCCGTTGCAATGAGGGTATCACGTTTCAGTACAAATTGTTCAACACGTATTCACAAGAGGGGAGGGTTAACACCCTCCCTAAAATCATGCTATTTCTACTAAATCCATGGTGTTTATTCCAATCGTCCAATTTAATCTTTTTGATTAGCACATTTTCTAATGCTCTCGAACTGGTAAAAGCTGAAATGGAATTGGATGCAAGTGTTGGACTGGTGAGCTTTTTTATCTTTTCTTACATGATACTTAAACAGTCCGTTCTCACTAGTTATGAGGGCCCCAACATAATCTCCATTTTTCGAAAATTTGCTGGTTAAGCCATTGTGGTTTCCTGGAATCTCGAGGTCTGCCTGGCCAAATTCTGCCCCAGGCCTTCACCACTACGGGCAGTCGCTGCCCTTGTGGATCAGAGAGAGATTTGCCCCCATGCAACTTTAATACCAGATCTGTGGTGGGTCCTGGTATTGGTTCGCTCTTTGCTAGGCTACCTCATAGAAACGCTGCATTCGTTCTCAGCTTGGGGACCCTGCCAGGGGGATAAATCCTTCTGCTGTACATCACAGCACGGCACCCTGGAACACCTCCCAGTCACGATGAGGCGGTAAACCATTGTGAGGCTTACATTTCATCTTTCCCATGAGTCATAAATCCTTTTGAAGAAGTCCGACAAAACTAACAATATGTTTTCTCGCTGTTTCAAATCCGCTTCCCAGTGTGTAGATGGAAATGAACTCTAGAAGTATAACAAGCGGTAGAAATAATGAAAGAAACCAGGAAATAATTAGATAAATGCATAGTAGAATCGTTATAGGACAATAGTCATTTGTGGGAAGCGTTGAAAAAAGACAACACAATAAAATTCAACAGTAAAAAGAGCAAGAAGTCTGTATTAAAGGTTGTATACGCTGCCTGCCTTGGTTAAAGTGTCATCGGTTTCGCCAGCAACTAAATATAGGAGTTTTGCTAGTATTTCGTGCGCTCCTTCCTTATTCTATTTGTTTCCGCAGTTGCTAATTCTTAGGTGGAGTGCGTTCAATGCGTTCAATTGTGGCGCTCCGTTTCTCCACGCGATGCTAAAGTGTGTGGTCCCCACGCGAAGACCTGCAAGGGCAGTGCGTGCTTCATGCGTGAGTGCTACAATCTGTTATTCACAAGAGTGTTTGCAGTAGGAAAAATGGTCGATAGTGGTGCTTTCCGAAAAAATCTATATTATTTCATTGCTACTAATAACAGTATTTTAGCATTGTTGATGGGAAAAGTGTCGAAATGCTTGATCTGTGATCATTGCAGAAAAAAGATTGAAGTACTTTGGCCTTAACAAATATATAGCTTTTTTATCTATCAACTACTCAAGTGTTTAAGGTCAATGCAAACATTGCCCAGTTTATCAATACATGAGCGGATGTGTTGATCTGACGCCATGGCAAATTGCCGACTTGGAGGTAACCACAGCATGACGCCTTAATACCATTTTCTGAAAATGCAAATTAAGGCATAATAGCATTTCGGCAATACTGAAACATCTTCCTAATATTTTTAATTGTTCTTTATATATTAAACACTTGGAGAAGTCCAGGAAATGGAATGTCAAATTTGAGGCCAATGTGATCGCTGAATTAGTGATGTTCTTACGTCGTTCCTATGCAGGTGAACCGACGGCGATCCGAGCTACGAATGCGGAGAGTAGGTGCGGTTCTGCTCTGTGAGGACACATTCAATCAGACAACTTGTATATGCAATCGGTACGTCGTTTTAGTGCCAACAACTATTGCATAAGCGAGCCACCATTTGCGGATGCGCTTGTCGTCAACAAAATCCCGTTGTTTCACATTTGTGAGCTAGTATATTTATTTATATGTTCTTACGAATTGGTTTTGTTAAGCTGATACGAGGTAGGTATAGTTTTAGTTGTTGCTGTTGTTGGTCGTTGGTTGACATTTCGGCGACTTCGCTTTTCTCAGAGCAGCGCTGTTGCAAGTGGGACCACTCAGCTCATAAAAACGTACAAATAAATATATCGATTATTTATACCAAAGTTTATAGAGAGTCGGTCTTTTGTTTGAAATTTTTCTACGAGATCCTAGTTAAGTGGAAGTAATCCTATGACTAGGGTCATTGCTGTGGTGGAAGAGGCGTGGTCACAATGAGGTGAAGCTTTATATGATACGAACTGCACCAACCGGCGTTGCTTATGGTGACGAAATCCGGGAAAACCTGGCAGGCTACTTTCAGACCATAAAGAAAATGTTTTATGCAACTAGAAGACTACCAATGGTGTACAAAAAAATTACTACAACTTGAGAAATGCTTGTTGAAGACGAGTCATCGGCTTTCCGATTATCGTCACAAACTCTTGTCATCTTCTGTGCATCGGTAGACGGCTTACCACCTTGCGACTAGGTCTCCTCCCGAAATGGTGGCGATTCGCCTGTAGATTCACTCTTGACCGGCATCCTAGATAGAAGTATCGAAATTTTGTCCGGTTCGATTGTTTTAATTCAAAGGTCGAGTCTCCTGCATAAAGGTTCAGTTCGACACCCATGACCACTCAGTCGTTGTGCTGAGAAGATAGAGCATTGCATGGGAATACTATTTTGCTAAATGTAAATGTAAATATTTTACTTTGTATTCTTTCTTTGATGAGCTTACACGAGGTTGATAATGACGTTTATTTTCGGCTAACGTTTCGACGTCTTCGTCTTCCTCAGAGCCGATGATCCGAGTCGATGGTCCTCGCTTGTTATTCACTGAGTAAGGATACCTCATTCGAGATGGCTCACTGAAGAAGACCTGACTCGACACGAAGGCGAAGCTGCCACGTCGAGACGAATAACAAGCGAGGGCCATCGACTCTGATCATCGACTCTGAGGAAGGCGAAGACGTCGAAACGTTAGCCGAAATTAAACATCATTATCAACCTCGTGTAAGCTCATCAAAGAAAGAATACATAATTATTAGTGATACCGAGGTTCAGGGAAAGTCGGTTTCGAAATTTTACTTAGTGTTTGTCAGTATAGTTAAAAGTGTCATGGTAGAAACTATGTCATAGTATAGATCTTCATATATGAATGGAATAGAATCCAATGCTCTCCATAGCACATGACCCACCAGTGCTCTGTATAATAGGTTAGGAACAATTTTATCCTAAAATGGCTACAAAATGAAAGAAGAAAGAAGAAATTTCTCTTCCTGTGCTTAAGTAAAATAAAAAACAGCATTATTCTTAACAGTGACGCAGCAGGTTCCTAGACAGCCAGTGCCAGAATTGTGTACGTCATTGGGTTCGATTTTCCAGAAGAGACAAGTGTAATTCCATCCATGCTCGACTACCATTTTCGACCTACAGTGAGGGGATCTTCAAAGGTGTCGTGAACTTCGACCAGATCATTGCCGATTTGGATCCAAGGTAACTTCACTCCACCCCAAATACGATAATTTCGCAAGTTCATCAAGAAATCTAACTGAAAAAATGTATGAATACATGGGTGTAACGTAGAAGAGGAATTTTCAAGTGAAAACATTTTTTACTTCTATAAAGATATAGTGTCAGTATCCTGAATATTCTACTATATTCGAGATCGAGGTCAATCCATTCCTTAATAAATAGTAGTCGTTCATACACATATTTGCTTAATGCAAAATCTTTTTCCCAGCAATTCTTTTGTGTTTTGTAGGACGAGAATAACCTTATGATCAGTTATTGTTATACACTCCCAAGGGTTTACTGCCTCATCGTGGCTGGAAGGTGTTCCTGGGTGTCAAGATGCGATATACAGCGGATGGGTTCATCCATACGCCAATGTCTCCCAAGCCGAGAAGGAGTCCGGAGTTTCCATTAGGAAAACCAGCTAAGAGTAAATCAGTACCAGGGTCCACCACCGCCGTAGTATCAAATTAGTCGCATGGTGGCAAATCTCCCTCTGATCCACAAGGCGGCGACTACCTGTAGTGATGAAAACTTGGCGCAGACTTTGGCCTGGCTTCACTCTGGTCTCCAGAGAACCACAATGGCTAAACCAGCAAAACTCCAACAAAACGGAGATTATGCTGCGGCCCGCACAATTAGTGAGAACAAGCCATCCAAGTATCCAAGCAATAAAGTATTGTTATACACAACCCGCTGCCCTGTCAATATCTGGTCACATTTATTGTTTTTTTTTGCGATGCAAGTCTTCCAATGTAACTAGAAATTTCTCGAGCCTTCGTTTACACTCACATTAAAAGGTGCAGCATGAAAAAAGTGAAAGTTTAAGTTGTTGTTTGAATCCGTAGTTAAATTGTTACGAGAACTAACTTTCGAAGGAAGTTCAACTAACACCAGTGTCAGAATAAAAAGCAGATACTCGTTTTTTCCAGATATCTTGAAGTAATCGCCGGCTATCAGTACCGGTTCGGCAGAGGCTCAACGGCTAGAAGTTATCCCTTACTAGTTTCATTGTTGCCGATTGTTGTTATGTTCAGTTTTTTCTCTTAGATATTTCTTTTCTACCTTCTTCCACTTAAGTTATAAATAAATATTCGTCTGGCCATTTAGATTTGCAGAAAAGACAACTACTCATAAAACTAAAGTCCATTCCTTCCACTTGTTTTCATCTGCATTTCTTTCTCTTTTGCCAATCATTTTGCTATTCGCCACTGCTCCATTTTAATGAAGTCTTAGAGCAATCGCTCTCGAAGGCTCCCGTAAAAGCAAGAACCATAGCTTAACCGGACCGCAGGTGTCTTCGGTGGAGATCGAACCCGCTATTACCTTCTGTGATGGCTGACGTGTTTACCACCACACCGTGCGGGTCCTTCGCTTACCCTTTCTCTAATATTTTGGTTATATATCACGTCATAACCTGACATGAAAAGAGAATAGACGGCAAATAAAAAGTGTCTACATTGTGATATATTGCTTCATATTTTAATACTGAAGTAGGGGTGCACACATAGCACCGATTTTCTAAAAAGTGCCAAGAAACATTAAAATTTTGGTAGAAACTTGTTTTTCTTCCTGGAGGATTTAGAGATTTAACAACTGTTCGAATGTGTACAACAACGGGAAGTGTAACTTGAAACCAATACGCTTGAACATTCCATTTCCCCTTCGCTTCATAGCCGCCTTTTTCTCTCTTTACAACTGCACCACCAAGTTCACTGTTGTTAATAAAGCTTGCTTAAAACTTGAAGTGCGTGTTTAAAGATTTCATACTTGTTAGTTTTTAGTCTCTCCTTTATTTAATTGCGCGTCCACAAATATATTAGAGGAAGGGTAAAATCAAACGTTTTCTCAGAATATTAGAAAGCAAGTATCCAGTTATCGACCTTCGAAATTCCGGAGAATTGATTTGTTTGCCACCACAGTTGTTGTTTAAAGCTAATATGTCAGCATCGAGGTATTCGCTTCAACTGAAAAGCTTCATTAGAACAGGTGGGTGACTGTCTTCCGTCTCAAGAGCGTCCTCCAGCATTTCGCCGTGGATAATCCCCGTCGTTTCGTAATCCCCTAGAGAATTTTAGTCCTTTATATGAGTGCCGAGAGATTGAAAAAAATTTTTTATATCACAAGCGATGACGGGATGCATCGGCAGAGCAGTTCGTCGGCAGCCTTATTTTAGGCTATGATTCTATTCACTTCCTTGTAATCCTTCCTTCATGCATTACCGAAGTGGAGTTTCGTGGAGCACTTTCCGTATCAGGAATATAACGCTCTCTTCTAACATTCCTGCACCTTTGTTAAGCCATTCCCACGAGTCCTAGTTGGTTTTTTTCGTAAGATCTTTGAGTGTTTTTATAAGTACCTTCTCCAGAGTTTCAACAAATACAAATTTCTTCAAGATGACACTGAATTCCTCATTCATTTGTTTTCTATCTCCCAAGTAACTTTGAAGCTTCAACAATAATTGTAATCTTATTACTGGTGGCATAGTGAAAGCCTGTCCGAAAAGAAGACAAAATCGAGGATGACACAAAGATTAAAATAGATTTTAAATGAATGTACACAGACATGTTATTAGGAAATTGAACATAAACATAAACATGTTCAACATAAAGGTGGCGCCTAATAAAATAATTCCATATAGTTGATAAATTTTTCTGACGCTAGAAAATAATTTGGGAAAAATTTTTTCCAGAGAATATTCGATGGAATGGTAGAATTTTTCCAAAAACCTGGCGTGTATCTTATAAAATATGACATATGGATACTTTATGCACATGAGTCTAATAACGAAAGAAGTGTATGGGACTTCGTCCATCTTTAGATTATCGTTTGAACGATGGAGCTATTGGCGTGCTTAATTTTTATCATTTGAGGAATTCTTACAGTAGTGCGCGTGTTTTGATGTGCTGACTATATTTCAATGTTACTAGACGAGCCGAAAACTGTGCGAGACACATATGTCTCACGTACGGACGAAAAAATTCTAAAAACATATCGTAATTCCTAGGCACCATTGTTAATTTAGATAGGAAACATTAGAAACCACAGAATTCCGTTAAGAAATTCCACACTACTTATTTTAGAAAGTTAGAACAACGATTTTATGTCGTCCAAAAACCATATTTTCTTCGCTTTTTTCACCAAATATCTCAGGCGGTGAAGCAACTGAGTAAGTGGAATCGCACTCCTTTTGTCCACCCAGTTCCTTCATCAGTATGTGATGATGCGTCCCATTGCATAGCCGACCTGAACGTCTGGCACATCGGCGTTTAAAACCTTAAAAGTTCTCATCAAGATAACACATTTTTGCAAAATATTCTCCGTTAATATTCTCTACCTTATCATATCACTGCGTGTTTCTTATATTTAATATGTATTGTACTTAATTATACTTATTGGAATCTTTTGTATCACGGAACCAATTCCTACCACAAGTTGTCCTCAATGGGCGCATACCGGTTTCGTAATGTGTTCAGCATTAACCATCTCGACTTGCGATGATTGTGCTCCGGCCGTCCGCATTCCACATCCGTATCGCCGCTCTTTGTGGGTCTAAGTAGTGACTCTAAGGGGAGTTTAGATTAGAGTGCCACATGATCCGCACATTCACAAAGCATATATAAGATCAGCCATTGATTTATGGATGCATACCAGTATACTGTCTCATTTGCTCCCACCATGTTTTTTCGTAATTAAAGACTTATAATATCATTGGCTTGAGGTCCAGATTTTGCAAATATCTCAGCATTATTGTGGTTGTATCTCACGTAGTACCCTGAATCCCATCATTAATTTTCTATCATATTACCTTAACGCTATTGTAAAAGATACACCGCCATTGACAACGTACCTTCTTATCCTCTATATTAACGCTACTTATTGATCACACTATATTTTTATATTTTTTTACACCTAAATTCTTGTTATTGCTATGTCGTTATTATTGTAATATTACAATATGATCACCCAAGTTCTAAATCTCATGTTAAGATAAAAATGAAGAGACCCGCGTGCGAGAACCCATCACACGACAAAGAAGTTCTTCGCTTAAGGCCTGCTTAATATTTGGTCCAAACAATTTAGAATCAGAGTAACTTTTTAGGAAACTTTGTATCCTCTCAGTGCGGGGCTTAGAAAACATCTCTCCACTATGTCTGTGAACTCCATAAGTACTCTAACGATTGAAAAACTATCGGCAGTTATCGAAAAACAAGCAGCCTCTTGACCGTGGACTCATTCAAAATCCTACTCTTCCACCACAACGTTGTTACGGTTACAGTTATCTGCTGATCAGGCCGGGTACATATAGGCACAAAAGGGAAGCGAAGTAGAAAATCCATCGGTCGGTCTTTTGCGTTATTTAGAAAATAATAAAGGACGCTTACTTGGACACTTCGACGACCGGTCTTCAGGAATTGTGCGGACCTCGGCACATTTTCTATTTGTTTCTTTGCCTTGCGATCGTTTTCCATGACGATGGTTTTTTTCGACTGTGGTGGTAAGTTTGAATCATACCATGATCTGCAAAATAACTGCAACTGCGAGTATACCTGATTGCCTTTGATTACGAACACACGTACTCAACCTGTGTAGCCGCCCTAGGAGACGCCTATATCCTCGTGGAGTCCACCCTACAGTTCTTTTCGTCTATTTGTCGTCTGTTCTTCTCATTATGTGACCGGCACATCTGTGTTTCGCATCGGTGTATTTCTATATTCTTCTGGATTCCAAAGATGTGGCAGATTTCGAAGATCAGAGCTTCGCATTCGGCTAGATAATGAGAGCGCCACTTGTGTACCATCGTTCAAGCGCTCCATGAGTAGTGCGCAGTATCTATGACGTGGTTGAAGTATGAATCTACGTCTCTTGCATAACAAAGCTCTGGGAGGACTGTTGAATTAAAAAGATGAGCATGGATATTTAGATCCTTTAGTTGGTCGGTGTCATCTTTGAATGGCCCGAATGAATGCGGCCTATGCCGCTTTC